GGGCGCTGCCAGGCCACCAAGGACAGCAGGGAGCCCACAGTGCAGGGGCCTGTGTGTGAAGGTCTCACTGAACAGCTGTGTGCTGATCACCTGGCAGTCCCACAGCGCCCCCTGCTGGTGGGAGGACACACCCTCCTCTGCCCCAAAGCCCTAGCCGCCCAGCTGGCTGTGGGCTCCCAGGTCTCTGTCCCTGTTCCCACACCCACGGTCTGAGCCCAGACACTGCGATTTGATTCGTATTGATCACAAATGAATACGGTTTCTCTTCCAGTAAAGATGCTGCACAAATAAATGCACAGTGAGCCTCTTGTCCAACCTCACAGGTCGGGGAGCTGCTCAGGTGTGATGAGCTCCTGGGGGCTGTTCAGGTCAATGAAGGAGAGAGGAACTTTCCAGAAATACCCTCAGGGTCACATTCAGAGGAGGACCATTCAGCCAACATTTCAAACCATGTAAGGGGTCAAATAATAGTCATCTGATTGGAGTTAGTGATTCATTATGAAAAAATGGTTTGGTAGGCTCCACATTTACTGGTGGGCCTGTCGCATGTGGGGCATTTACATTTTAGGAAAAGCCTTTATATTTTAACATTTGTATGTTCTGTTTTTCTGTGACCAACGTTGTCTTCCTGTCCTAAAATGTGCTTATATATATATTTTAAATTCCCTGCCCTTCCTTTCGTGCCTGTTTCCTCATTTGAGGCACAAGCTACAGGGGATGGTGAGGAGCTGGCAGACGTGGTGACTGACACTCTCCCCACACGTAGGACGCGGCCCACAGCAGCGTGTGAGCTCCTGAGGGGGGAGGGCATTGCCCCAAAGACCAGGAGCCACACTGTGGCCGTCACTCCTCAGGGCTCAGGGAACCCGAGAGGAGCCGCCAGTGACTCACAGGAGGAGTGAGCGTCAGAGCTCCGCACTGAGGGGGGGACAGCCGTTGTGCCCAAGGACCCCGGTGGGTGCTGCGGCCTGAGACCCCGGGGCCGGGGCAGCAGGGACAGAGGGGCCTCTCTGTGCACAAAGGCCTCAGCCGCTCCCACTGAGCATCAGGGAGGAGGG